TGGAAATCAATTTACTTGCTTTTAAGTTGTTGCTGTTTAGTCGTAGAAGCCGTGAGTTCTAATAATAAAACTACCGAATTATAGTTTTAACGACACACACTAACGGGAAGGTAAGCTGCATATGAAAAATAAATGACATTTGTTTTTTATAATTAGTTTTCAAATTTTACATTTGATTTTAATGCTAAAAAACAAACTGGTTTCAAAAAACAACAGCTAGGTTTCCAGTAGCAACAGCCGGGTTTTTAATAATAAAAATAGTTTTCTTTTTACAAATATTGTTGTTTTTATAGTAAACCAGTAATCATTATAAGTTATGTACACCTGTAAATAAAACCTTGTTTTTACTACAGTTGTTAAATGCCATACTCTATTATCTGTGTTTTCCGTTTCATGATTTATTACGTGATTATTAATCATGATTTAATTTTTAATTTCATGATTTTTTCAAAGATTTTCATGTTTCGACTATAAATATTCTTGGAACAAAAATATTTTCACGAATTTATAAGCTTACTTTATAAATCTACTGTAAAAATATGAACTTGGTCAATTAACATTGTACGTGTTTTGAATTAAGATTGTACGCGATTTAACATTGTACGTGTTACTCTTTTTTATAAAATTAGAACTTGTAAAACTATATTTTTCTCTATTTAACGAAAGGGCTTGATGATAAGACATTTTGTTATACAACACATTTGCTATACTTTATTAAACAAACCTCAGCCAACACTGACATTACGGGGACCATACGGGTTGTCAACTGAGTCCTGTGTGGGAAGACCAAAGGTATCCCGCCAGGTCTTGGTTGCGGTTTCTATATGGGGCCCATATGGCTATGCCCACCGGGTATCACGTATGGGTCCCAGTCAAATCCCGTACTTTCAAACGGTAAAGGGCCCATTTGGGATTGCAACTAGGATACATTTGGGAAGCCCTTCGGGAACTTGCTGGATCTTGGGCGCGGTTTTCCTCTGGGGCCTATATGTGTATGCCCTCCGGGTATCCCGTATGTGTCCCATGAGGTTTACCAACTGCAAATCCTGCAAAACTATGTTTAAAATGTTTAAAATATACGGAAAAAGCAAATTTATATAACTTGATTAGTTTATTTGAAAAAAAAAAAAATTAAAATTACACTCTCAAAATTAAGCAAACTTTTAAACGATTCTTTAATCGTGTATCAAATGCTTTCACGGTTATCTCGCAAAATGGAAGTTTTTCTATTGTTGTTAAAAAATTTTTTCTATTGTTGTTAAAAACTTTCTTTACACAATATCTCGTTTTAATATGACCAGTTAAAAAAATAAAGTTATCTGTTAATTTTTAATTTTATAGGTAACACATACATTAATTTTAATATATTATAAAGCTTTTATGATTTTTTCCCAACACTCTTCAGATAAAAATGTAATTTTTACCATGGAAGATAGAAAAATATAACCCTTAATTTTCATTATCGACATTTGTTTCAACTTTTAAAAATGTACTTGCAATAAATAAGCACATCCTTGTGATTCATATAACATATTTATAACATTCCTTTAGTTACTGATAAATAAATATATATAAAACTATTATATAAATAAAATTTTATATTTATATTCTGTATAATTATATATATATATATATATATATATATATATATATATATATATATATATATATATATATATATATATATATATATATATATATATATATATATATACGTATATAGTATATAAATATATAGTTATATATTTATATATAACTTAGAGAATCTGTTGAGCGCTGTGGAAAAGCATTTGAAAGAAAGTTACAGCCTCCTTCCTATCTACTGCTCTACAGCTGTTGATTCCATTTCGAAAACATGTTTGATAGTCGACAATACCTAGGAGATGATGAGGTAGGGTTTTTACAAATGATGGTTTTGGTATCGCATATATTGCAGAAAATTTATATTGGAACCATAGAAATACTAAACAAACTTTCATCTTTTGAATTCTTTTTCGTAAAACTCTACTTACATCGCTTCTGCTCTGACTTGTCGCATCCCAACTAAATGACCATATTTTTTAGTTTTATGTATGCGTAATTTCTCGCGCACTTCTTAAATTTGACAAACCCAAAAAGTTGTGTGATCAATGAGAGCATGTTGAGGTATTTCTGCAGATGTTTTAGTTGTTATAACTTTATGAGGATAGCACAACAACTTGGCTTCTTTATGTCTGTGGTGCGAAGGATATAGCTTGCAGTTTAAGCTGTTAGCTTGCTCGCGATCTCGTTGGTACTTACGAGTAGAAAAATTAGCATCAACTATTAGTGCAAGAGTTTTTCCTGCCGAAAAAATGCTGGTTGCTATAGAATTATAGAATATATATTTCAAAAACTTATAGAATATATATTTCAAAAATTTACCTCGTTTTGGAGATAAAATTAAAATTACTTTAAAAATCGTTTTGGAGATAGAGCTGAAACTTCTTTATTCCCTTTTTCCTCAGTTTCATTGTCATGGCCACACTTAGGTCTTGGCTGTTTGACTCAAGTAAATGTTTTATTTTGTATTTTTAAGCTTTACGGCCGTAAACGCTGAAAGTTTTCGTTTTCCGGTCAGGTATGATTTTTGTGAAATTCTGTGGGGAGTTGTTTGGCACACTTCGAAATATAGTATCAGTAAATTTAATGTTTTTATTTATTCAAGCAAAGTAGGTGTCCATGAAGCACTGCCTCTCTTAGTCTATTGTTCTAAAATGCTTGTTAAAAGTCATTTTGTCAAACATTTTAGAAAGATAGACTTAGAGTCATTTCAATTTTTAAACACTTTAAAGCAGCATCAGACAGTTCAAGCAATCATCAACAAGTTCAATAAACAAGCAATCATATCAAAATCAACAGACAGTTCAAGCAATCATAATCACTTTAAACCAGCATCAGACAGTTCAAAGTTGCCTATTTTTACAATAATGTAACTCATCATCGTATCGAACTTAAAACTTCTTCTTTTGCATTCATATATCAAAAAGAATTCCTGGGAAATCGAAGGAATAGCTCTTTAAAAAAGAAGAAATATAATTGTTGCGAGCACAAGGAGTCGTGTATTAAGAGGTTATGCTCATCTAACAACAAAACCGTACAAAACAGTCTCCTTTTGAAATTGTAATAAAATTGCTTTAAGTAAAATATTACTTTAAAATTTAAAAACTTTACAACTCGTAATTCAGTCTTGCAAAGTTATGCTAAAAATTGTTTTTTTATACGATGGAATTTGCCAACACGTTGGAATCGCTATACCCTGAGAAATTCACAATCAACTTAATCTAAAAAACCAGAAAATTGAGTTTAAATAGCTAGAGTTGAGATTAACTGTAATTGAGATGGCCGTATTCCAGGAATGATGAAACTCATAACTTTTATATGCTAATGATGATGTTTTACAAAAAACTACGCAATCGGAATAAAAACATCCCAATATGCCCTTTTGATTTCCTTTGAAGAAAACAATATTTTGGAAAAAATTAACAGCCCTTTAATGTAATAGAATTACATAGCTCTTAAACAAAAAATGATAGAGGAACACATTTTTCACATCTATTATAATATGCATAAGGGTTAAGTGAAAATTTCTTTTTTTCTAAATTTCTTTTGTTTTATTCGATTTATATAATTAACACTGAATTTATAAAATTTTAGAAAAAATATTTTAAGGGGTCCTAATCCCGGAGCATTTAACGGATCCCTAATATTATCCGAAAAAAATTTCTTTAAAAGTATGCCAATATAGTACTTTATAAATGTTATAAAATTTGGTAAAACATATTTTTTAAAAAACGTTTTCAAAAAAATTAAATAAAAACCGTAAAAAAATATTTTTTTAAAAATATTAAAAACCGTTAGTTATTCATGCAATGCAATCTAAATTAATAATATCAATATAAAATGTTATTATTTTATAAAATTTTGCCTCTTTTTGAGTGCATCAGGTTGACATACCTTTTTTACTAATTTTTTTTTGAACATAATTAGTGATCCGTTAAATATTCAAAAGACTGTTAGGACCCATAAAATATTTTTTATCCAAACATTTTTTAAATCCAGTGTGATTTTATTATATAGAATAAACCTGTAATTCTATATAATAAACAAGGTGTAGCATGAAAATTTTTTAAAAAATAAGTAATTGTCATCTCACCCCAAAATGCATACGTCCAACCCGTACCCCAAAATGCATTAAAAATCTTTTCTACTTTAATATTTTTACATGTTTATTCTTTGAAATAACGCCATTTGACCAACTTTTAAATAAACAAACCAAATTGCAAACACAATAATTAAGTTATTAGTTTAAATCTTGCAGTCCTCAAAGGGTTAAACGTTAATTTAATATATTATTTTGTTATAGTAATTTTAGAATTATAGATTGACCTCAAGTGTAAATTAAAAAAATGACATCAGATTGTGGTAAAGATAAATTAAGAAAATCTGATCATTTTAATTTTATACATAAAAATTTCAAAAAGGAGCTTTTTGAAATCATTTTAATTTTATACATAAACTAATTGAAGAGCATTTTTCAAAAAGGAGCTATAGTCATTTTTCTAAAATTAATTTTTTTCAACATTTAGATGTTATTTGCATTATTTAAAAGGTACAAATCTAACTATATATTTATGATTAAAAAAATTGTTCATCATATTCATTTACGACTAAAAAATTATAGAAATGCAATAAATATTTCGCCCGGGTAAAAAGTTTTTTTATTTTTCTCAAAACAATAAAAATGCGACTTAGCTGTTTTTAGAAAAACGCTCTTCAATTTGATTCAACTTTAAGTTAATGAATTCAACTCAAATGTAAAAATAACAGTAAACATTAATAAAAGTAATATAACATTATACCGAAGTTAACTACGGGATAACGATTATCTAAATTTTATTAACTTTATTAACTACCTTGGATAAAATTATAGAACTATTTTTATTAAATTTCTAATACAGAGTGCTTATAAACAACGCGACTTTAATTAAACGATATATCTTCCATTAAGAAACATGAATTGCTATATATAAAAATTATACCAAAATTTGAAAGGTTAAAGTTTAAGAATCGTCTCTAGAATTATGATAAACTCCTGCGTAAAACTTCTTTGAATTAGAAAAATTAGAAATGTCACTATTGTTACTTGAGGTACGAGTTCGTTTACGAGAATCTCCATAATATAAGGGAGACTGAGAATCAGAAGGAGAAGTATAAATATGGTCCGCGTGTTCCGAATTCAATTCTCCATATTGACGAGGACGAGATCGTGGATCGTAAATAGGAAAATGTGAGCGCTCAGAGTTTTTATTACCGTCATATGGTTTTTTATCTGTATTTTCATAATGGTCAGGTCTTGAATTATAGAGTTTATCTTTACACGGTTTTTCATCAAAAGGAATATTTTTATTATTTTGAGCCTCTTTCCATTCACGATAAGTAGTTTGAACTTGTGTAGTTCGACACTTTTCATCTCGGATTGACGTATTGTTATATTCGTTAGTTTTAAAACGATTTCGATTATTGATGTTATCACTCGATGAACTCGATAATTGTTGAGAGCGATTTGAAACATCTCGCTTCGTCAACTTTTCTCTAAAATGAATACATTTAAATGAATTATATCAACAATATGAAAGATTACTTTTAATTAACCGTACCGTAAATACTTACTCAATAATATTTGAGTCAGTTTTTGTAGAAGCGGTTTTTTGCAACTCATTTGGTTTTTTTTGTGGTATCCTTTCGCTTTTCAGTGTTTTATTGGAATTAGAATTAAGACCTAAACGATTAAATTAAATATAGCAGAAAGAATCACAAAAATATTAATATTATCTGAGTTTTATAAATATCATACTTTCTAAAAACAAAAAGAAACTATTGTTTCATTTTAAGAATTCAGAATACTCAGAAAAATTGAGGATTACCAACAGTGTGCTGATTAATGCAATTTAATAAAACGACACATATTATACAATATAATTAAAACTGCATTGGTTAATGCAATTAAATCAACAAGTGTTAGTGACATATTGTCAAATCAGATAAACTAAATTTGAATGTCAGAACTGGGTAAAATGTGTATAAAGTATTTATTAGAAAATAAAAACTTTTAAAATTATCTTAATTTGGAGACTTTAAAACAGTTGAAAACATTTGGTATTAACACTTTTTAACAACGAAAACGCCAAATATTGCATTTATTTCGTTTTTTTTTATATAAATAAATATAAATATTGCTTTATTTCGTTTATTTTGTTGCTTTGAAAAAATATTTTTTAAATTCTTTTGTTTTTTTTAAGTAGTTTTCAAGGAAATGTTTAGAGCAATTAACAGATGATTGACCCAGTTTTTTCTATTTACAAATTTTATGCATTTTTTCCGTATGACTTTATTGACTGAATATGAAGACTGACACTGAATTCTAGAATAATTTAAATAACAACCATAAAAGTGGTTAACCATACTTTGTTTTTAATTTTACAACATTTTATTTTATAAAACAATACAAAATATTATTACAATCAACATCTTTAAAATCAACAATTATAGTTGCTGATTTTAATGATAATTTTGTATAAAAATTCTCTGACTTACTTTTTCTTTTTAATTAAGACGAAGATTAAACAACGATTTTTTGCTCTGATTGAATTACAAATATAAAAAACTACATAAAGTTAAATATATAGTGATACTTTACAGTTATTATAGAAGTACCTGTCTATGCCTTATACTTTCTCAAAAAACGAGTTTTATCTGAAAACTTTTTTCAGATAAAACTCATTATAATCAGGAGGTCAGAAAAAAATAAATGCAAAATGTACAGAATCATTGCTTAAAAACCTAACTGAAGCCTTGAAAAGTAGAAAAAAATCATATGACATTAAAATGTATAATATTATCACTTAACTATTTGTAATCTCATAGCTTCCTATATCTAATTTGTAATCATTTGATAATTAATTATTTGTAAATAAAGTAAATGAAATAGAAGAGGAATAAATATTAGTTAATTAATTTGGAACTACCATGTCATGTTATTAAACAAAAGAATGTTACTTGAAATTATAAAACATTACCTAAAGTTTTTTTTCTAGCAGCTTCAAGTTGTAATCGATCAGGGGGTACATTTTTAACTACTTCTCGTGCTTGGTTTATTTTTATTTTCTCAGCCTCCTTTTTGTCTTCATCCTTTTGTGTATCTCGCTTGCGACATGCTGTTCGATAAAGTTTGTGTAATTTAGCAGGACTGAGTTCTGTAAATTTTGCAACAAATGACCACAAGTTACTATAAGTATAAAAAATAATTCTATTTAACATTATAATGTATAATAATAATAACAATAATATATATATATATATATATATATATATATATATATATATATATATATATATATATATATTTATAAAGTAATGCAACAGTTAAGCAGCTTAAAATAAATATATTTTCTTGCTCTCGATCATAGAGAATTTAAAAACATCATAAAATATTTATTAGAAACTTTATTATTATTATTGTAAATATTTTTTTTATTAATAATAATAACTGTTAAAAGTATACAAATAATAATTATAAATAATTATTACATATATATATCCTTATATAGTAGTCAAAAGAGACTTTTATGGTAAAAAAAAAAAAGTCTCTTTCAACACATTTTTGTAACATTTGAGTGACATCAACAACTAAGTGAAGTTTTAATGTTGTTTAAAAGTTAAAACAATTGAAATAATGCAGAAGTACATTAGGTTTTATCATTTTTTTTAAAAACCGCAATATAATGACTAGAAAGTTTTTTTAATTAATGTTTTTGCATTTTTATTGTTTTATAATCATTTTTTAACATGCACAAAGTGTTGCTACATCTTATAGCCTGCTGCTACAAGAAAGTGCCGCTACATTAACTCGGGGTTTCATTTGGGCAAGCATTTATCAAAAAAAAAACTTTATTCAAGTTTTAATACTTTTTCTGGTCTGGTTTATTAGCGTTTGATTTAAAACTACAGTTTATGGAGGAAACTTTTGACTACCATGCAAGAATATATATATATATATAAAACCCTCAGAATTAGGGTCAGCATTCAGCAATGCCAACCTGAAAGTGTCAAATTTTTTTTGCCAACCTTAAGACGACCTCTAACAGTTTGAGGTCGGCAATTTATTGCCGATCTCATTTTTCTTAATTTCGAGGGCTGTATGTATGTATGTATGTATGTATGTATGTATGTATGTATGTACACACACACACACAGACATATATATATATATATATATATATATATATATATATATATATATATATATATACCAGTAATATAAGTAATATTTCGGTAGACAGTGCTCATACAAAAGTAGAGCAAATATATATTATATTAAACTAATAATAAAATTAAAGTTGTAACATAACTCAGAGTTTCACGCTATATGCGATCATCAGACGTTACAAACCATAACAACAACAAATAACAAATTTGTTTTTGTGGCGACATTTTAATATTAATTCATTTCACTTATTTAATAGTTTCAAAGATGATGTAATGATATGGTATTTTTCCATATCATTACATCATCTTTGAAACTATTAATAGGGCAGAACCTTTTAAACCCAGAAGAAAGTTATGTAATCTTTGTTTAACGGAAAAATACTATACCATCAGATCATCTTTGAAACTATTAAATAAGCGAAATGAATTAATATCGAAATGTTGCCACGAAAACAAATTTGATATCTCCAACTTTAACATCATCTAAGCTAACACTGTATTGTATTTTTGTATATAATTTTTGTTGTTGTTATGGTTTGTAATGTCTGATGATTGCATATAGCGTGAAACTCTGAGTTATGTTACAAATTTAATTTTATTATTATTTTAATATATATATATATATATACAACAAGAAATAATACTTGACTGTATAGGCTTTTATTTATATATATATATATATATATATATATATATATATATATATATATATATATATATATATATATATATATATATATATATATATATATATAAAAGCCTATACAGTCAAGTATTATTTCATATATCTCATTGTAATTTTATCACAAAGCATTTGGGATGTTCTGCCGGACCTTAGAAATTTTATAACATTTAGCATTATATTGCTGCTCTAATACAAATTTACTTCCTTTGAGTGTATTACCAACAGCAAGACTTGTTGAACGCATGAATACTTTATTCGATATATTGAATTCATACAAATTATATGCAGATAAACTAGCTCATTGTGCTCTAACTTTAAAAGGAGCCAGTATTTCTCAGTTGGAAGAGTTAAAGTATTAGATTAAGAATTGGAAATTTTGTAATGTTAGAAGTCAAGCAAGTATATCATGTCATTGAAGTGTCACAATTAATAGTGTTCTAACCTTAAGTAGAGAGCAATTTTCAGAAGGTTTTCAGTTTGTTTGTACTTCTCGTTATAATCAGGACTACATTGAAATTTTTTTTCTATTATTCAAAGCAAAGATGGTTGGAATTACTGTCCTAATGTTAGACAGTTTTGAGCTGCCTATAGAAACGCTTTATTATTTTTATTTGTACAAGAAATTTAAATGATTTTATGATGTGTTGTAATTAAACTACCACTAATTGTGAAATTTATGAAATAGAAAATAACATATCTAAAGGAATATCTTATTTTCGTCCAGGATCATTTATATGTTTACTGTAAAAATTTTAATCCAACCAAAAGATCAAGCCCTTTTATACATGGGTGGATGGCTTAATCAAATTATTAATGAGAAATGGTCAGGGAGGACATCCCAGAATACAATTTCAATCAATTAACAGGAGTTTTGCAAAATGGATAGACATGGACATTTTTTTTTTCTTCTTTTTCTAAAAAGCCATATGGGTTAAGGTAAGCGAAAAAAGTGAGCAAATGCTTATAAAAATACGCTTAAGTAAGTGTGTGTGTTTATATATATATATATATATATATATATATATATATATATATATATATATATATATATATATATATATATATATGTGTGTGTGTATATACATATGTGTGTGTGCACATATACTAAACAATGTATCCGGAAAAAAAAATTTTTTTAATTAAAGTGTGGAAAAGTTACTAATTTTTATTATGTGTAAGTAGATTTCACCAAAAATCTCAGCTCCCTTATTCAAATCTAAGGTATAGAAGACATTAGACATTTATGCTCTAGTTTGAATAGAAAAAAAGAAAAAAGTGTTGAGAACTATTTTACTTTTTAGATGCTTCTATGTGACTTGCTTGGATATCTGATGTTGTTTTTTTTTTGGATAGAATAAAAATTAAATTAAAAGAAGCAAAAGAGTAGGAGAGTTCAAAAATTCAAACTCAAAAAATTCAAGCTTTGGTAATTGATAAGTTTAGTTTTAAAAATGATATATAAAAATACTTTAAAAAGTTTTATTAACATTTTTTTGTATAGTAATGTACCTAAAGAACGCCCTGAAGTCATTCCTCTTATGTGTTCTTCCAATAAAGTCATTATCATTCCAATAAAATCACTTTATGTAGGCTTAGTCCAATCATTACCAAATGCAAACTGTCTAGCACAAATAGACAGTTTGCACTAATGAATTGAAGGCTTACTTACTCTTGCAAACCATTATGCATTTCACTATCCACAAAGTTTTTTCTGGCTGATTTTACAGAAAAGAAACAAATAACTTTTTTAATATAAAACATTATCAAGATTTGACGTTGGAAGTATGGCTGTCTGGATTCTAGCTTTTCAATCATCTTATCTTTCTTGTCCAGAAAGGCCAAAGACTGAGTAAAGCAACTTTTTGAGGTTGTTGTTTTTGATGTCAGCATCCAGATCCCTGTCAGCAAGAGACAGAACCACAAGCAAGGAGATAGGTATCAAGTGTGTATTACATAATTATTAGTGAGAATCTTCCAAATCCTTGCATAGACTTTTATTCTGACATTTGGAGAAAGCTTGAAAGTTCATAGGACATTAGAAAGAATCTGTATAGTATGTATATTTGTAGCAGTGTTTCTTCTCTTGAGATTAGCAAGCAATATCAAAGATTTTCTCTTTTAAGAGTAGCAAGCTGTCAAAGATATATCTTTATATATTATATTTCTAATTATTTGACTTCTCCTTTCTAGAAAGTGTCAACTAAATTACTTGAGTGCAGAAATCTTTAGCTTTAACTGCAAGGTTGTGAAAGTGATTACTAACTTAAAACCATCTTGGGACCATTCTTTTTTTTTAAATTAAATCTTTCAACTTTATTAATTTCTTTGTGTATTTGAGGTCACAGCCGCTTATGTGAAACATAGAGCTTAGAATTTTTAATGGGTTAAGAATAAGTTTTGAGACATATGCCTTTCATATATGTGGTGTCTACCCATCAACCAGAGTGCAGGCCTTCCCAAAGCAAGATTAAAAACATTCTTTATGGCTTCTTTTTCTTCTTGCCTTTGTTGATAGCTGTGGTGCCAGCACACACACTAATAATCTGATCTATAATCTTCTAGTAATGGGGGATACTTTGATTGACAATGGGTTGGTCACATGCTTTAGTGCTTTCAACGATTAAAATAACAAACAAGTCTGAAGGGTTATCTCTTTAGACAAAGAAACACTTAGAGCAATCACTTTGTGAATTTTGTAAATTCCTTCTCCACTATATGACTACTTCCTTACAATCTTAGTGTCAAAGCGAATCACTAGCTTTGAGCATTTTACTTTGTCCATGTTCTGCCTCTGACTCTAATACAGTGTGTGCTTTCCTCCTGAGTTGATCTTGATATCTTCAGCTTTTTAATGGAAGACATAAAAGTGTCATCGCTGTTTATGTACAGGGAAATTTTAAACTGCTTGACTTCAATTTCTTCAACTTTCTTTTTTATTTCCGCCTGATTCCTTAGCTTTATACATTTAGCTGGCGTTTTCACTGAAGCCATTGTCTTGAAGGCAATGGCTTCAGTGAAAATGCCAGCTAAAGGTATAAATGAAGAGTAAGTAGTACAGTAGTTCATTTTGTATTATTTAGCTCAATTAATAATGTTAAGAAGCTAAGTTTAAACGCCATAAATAATATTATGTTTTTTATTATAAATATTTGTTTGATTCTAAAAAAATTAGTTAAATTGTTTTTTAATAAAAAACTTATTTAATGAAAATAAAACTTATTATTTGAAATGTTATACAGTTCATATATAGCTTTCGTAAATAAACTAAGTGCTTTCTTTAGTTGCAAATGAACCACCACACTAATTGTGTAAGCAGATTAAATTTGATTAATTTTTGTAAAACCACAAGGTTGTTTTACAAAAATCAATCCTCACTCAATCTTATTGATTTGTAAAAACAATAAGGTTGAGTGAGTTGTAACCATAACTAAAAGCAGCCTCCTCGACTGTAGTGGCCTTTATGGCCTTGGGGAGGTAAAATGAAATTTTTGAAAAAAAAAAAAAAAAAAAAAATTTTTAAATGATCAAATATTTTTCTTTTCTTTGTTTAAACTTTTATCTTAGTAATAGTTATTCATGAATGAACTTTATATATACAAAAATAACTGAATGCTTGAAGATTAACAAATTTGTATACCATTTAAAACAATAATTTTAAACAAAATAAATGCATTTTTTAGATGGAAATGCAAATAACTAATGTTCAAATTACCAACTAATATAACAATAGTTAAATAGCTTTTACGGGCTCACAGTTTGATACCATCCAAGTAATTTAATTTTGAATTTTTTTAAATATCAAAACAATTTTTGTAAAATATTAAAATAATTTAAACTGAGTACTAAAACAACTTGTTTTGTGAAATGTGAAATTTTTCACCAGGGCTTGAAATATATGCGGAAATGTCTAACAAAACCTAACAAAAACAATTTACTTAAAGGAAAGAAGTGCAATCACACACCATTCCTGACCACGCATAAAACAATTTGTTTTTACAGTTTTTTTGACAACTTTGACAACTTTAGGCGTTTTAAAGATTTAAAAATTAAAAGATTTTAAAGATAAGTTATTAGAAAAAAGATAATTTAAAGGATGAGAAAAAAACTAAACTTAAAAACTAAAATTTAAAAAGCAAAATATTTTATATTACATTTTTAAAAAATTTTTATAATACCTAAAATTTAAAACACTAAAATTTAAAAAGCACAATATTTTATATTACACTTTTTAAAAATTTTTATAAAACCCTTTTGTATTATGTGAAATACTTTGTAAATTAACTTTGCAAATTAAAATAAATTTAAAAGGTTTAAAGCTAAAATATTCATTCAAAATTTATAAAAATCATCAGTCAAATAATTAAATATAAATTTAAAATATAAATATGAACTACAAATAATTAATTGTAACGTGTTAATATAAATGATAAAAAAAATTCAAAAAAGGAAAAAGCAAGTGCATCTTTTAAAAAACGAATTAGCTGAAAAAATGATGTATTTTAAATTTTAATAATAAATTTTAAATTTTATTAACGTTACTATTTGTTCAACTTCATTTTTTGTTTTGTATAAATATAAAAAAAAAAGTTCAAAATGTTAAGTTTATATACAATACTGAATTTACTTATAGTTTTGGAGCAACTAAAATTATTATTAAATAAATGCACACAAAATCTGGGTCAAACAAAGTGACTAATAGATGTTGTTTTTTACCGGACAAGTGCCAGCAATACCCAATGTCCAGCATTTTAAGCCCTGTATACAGCAATTATATATGTTACATAAAATGAAGTTTTTACTAAAAATGTATTTTCAAATGTATGCTTAGTCTTATTCCCTAGGATAATAATAGGAGAAAAAAAATTTCATAACCTAATAATACTAAAAATAGGAGGAAAAATTAAAAAAATAATTTAACCCATTATAATTATTAGACTAAAATTATTTTATTAAATTTAAATATAGTAATGGCGTAGTGGTAAAGGGCTTACTTCATAAGCCAGAGGTTCAGAGTTCAATCCCTACCACATGCCTGACAGTACCATGCTTAACTTGTTTTTTGGCACAGCAATGGAGGTGAATAACTTATTATTTTTATCAAAAAAATAATAATTTGAGGTTCAAAAAAAATTTGAAAATTAAAAAGTTTTAATAATAGATTATTCTCCAGATAATATATTGGAAGGTTTGTGGGAGATTAAAAAATAAGGCAGAATACAATAAACAAAAACGTTATAGATTATAGATTTTATATTTAACTACAAAATGTGTATAATGTTTTAAAATTAAATATGCACTTTCAAAAAGTTAAAATATTTTACCTAGATTTTATTTTTAGTTTTTAATAAAAGTATTGCAAAAACTAGAATAAAATAAAAAAAAAGGCAATTTAAAAAGCTATGTAAATATTGAAAATATTTCTTTACCTTCTCCAGGTATCTTGCTCTAACGTATTTATGTTGTATTCATCAAGAGACTTCTCGATATGATCACCAATTTTTAGCAAACACCGTTTGGTAGTATTAACTTGATCTTCTTGAGGCATGCTTTCATCAGGAGTGTGAAGAAGTTGAAGTGATTTACGTTCTGGTCGCATTTTTTCTTTACACTATAATGTAAGTATGATAAAAATAGATAATGATACATACACATTAAAAAAAAAAAAAAATGAAATAAACAAAATACCTTTTTAAAAATACTATCACTCATGTCATTGATTTCTTTTATTACTATTGAAGACCCTGTTTCTATGGGAACCGATTCAGATGTTGGCTGTAATAACTATGATGAATATTGTTTATATATATATATATATATACACCTATTATATATGTATATATAATATGTATATATCTTTCTCTCTCTCTCTTTTTATATATATATATATATATATATATATACAAATACACAACATATATAAATATATATATATATATATATATATACACACATATATATATATAAATACACACACACACACACACACACACACACACACACACACACACACACACACACACACACATATATATAAGGATGATCCAGAATTACATGGGAAACTTCCAAGTGTTTTTGACCACTCTCCACAAACCTAACTTTGTTCTACTATATATAAGGATTAACCGTACAAAAAATTGGACCAATTAGAGCAAATTAACAATTTTAGGATTTCAACATTTTGTGCAAGCACTTAATTTTATGACATTTTAGCAGAAAACACAGTTTAGTGTTAATATTTTATTTCTGAGCTTTATTTGAATCACAGCTTAGTGTTTATACTTATTTCCGAGCAGCCCTTCTGAGACACCACACAAATAATTGTTCTAGTTCTTTTTGCAATTTGTAAACAGCAGCCATCTTGCCATCAGCAGATAATTTTGAAAAATCAGAATTTTTCTAACTAGTATTTTATTTATGTGCATATTACATAATTATTATCAATTAGTTATCGCGAATAATCAATTTATAATCTTTTGTTTAGTAAACTGATTAGTGTAACATTATCAACTTATCATTTACATATTGAGGCCTTGTAATGATTGTTGTTACTTTTAAAATAAAATGAATATTGAATAGGACATAACAATTCATGAACAGCAATAATATGAAAACATTTACTCTTCAGTACTTTTTATATCAATAGACATGTACTTTAGTACATTATGGCAGCTAAAACAAGAAACTGCTGAAGTAAAGGTTGAATCTTGTTGGCAAGGCCATCAAATAATTCTCCTCAGCAAGATTGGCTACAAATAGGATGAAAACATATGAAAGCATTTGGAAGCTGCAGATTTAAAGAGCAAACCTTCAATGTCGATCGATGGAACTTTTCGACTACAAACAATGCTACAAAGAATGCTTTGGAAATTACAACAAACAATTCCTAACTATGCAGAGAGATGTCACCAGTTTAAGCATGGCTGGAGTGGATTGCAGAATAAGAGACAAGGAATTGAGCTTGTATAGAAGCTAATGAAAATCAAAGATTTATAGAGACAGAAAAGCTGTAGCAAATAGAAATATTTGGCACTGCTTTGTTATCAGTTCTTCTAAGTCTAAAGATGATGACGTCATTGATAAAGACTTCAGAGTTCCACCACCATCATCTGCTCAAACTCTATCTACATTAAAGCCTAAACAACTGAAAATCATGATAGGAACTCCAGAAGTTGCAGGGGCTCTGGATAGAATGAATATTTCTGGTTATGTATATTGTTGCATCAACAACAAAGGTCTTAAGCCATCTTCTTGAAGACCTGATACTGCCTTGGAGCACTATTAGAAGGTCTCAGATGGCTGCCACAAAATAATTAGCTGAAGCTAAGAAGGTTTTTTTTTTAAATTGATTTTCCTCTTCTCCATTGGGATAGAAAACTGCTTCGGAAGCTTCAGATGGTGCAAAAAATCTGTTGAGCAAATTACTGTGATCGAAACATGAAATGGAATCATAAAGTTGTTTTTTGTCCCAAAATTGGAAGAGGAACTGGAGAAAAACAGGCTGCTGCACGCTTAAAAGTAATAGATGACTGGAATATATGAAAAAAAGTTTAAAGTCTGGTAATTCATATAACTTACAGCAAAACAGGCATCCATTGAGGAGCAATGCGTTCTTATTTAGGAGGTCATTGGCCATGAAATTGTAAACATTGGATTTCATCATCATAAGAAGTTGTTCTGAGAAGTCTTGGAAGTTGTTCAGAGCACCATCTTCACAAATTTTATTGGTGAGACAGGTGGACCCAAAGTTGATTTTTTTAAAGAGGAAGAAGAAATAGCCATACATAAGGTAAGCAGAATACTCACCAGCTAAAGACAAAATCTTTACAAAAACTCTTACAAAGGATATGGTTATCTACTACACTAAAGCCATTTAACATCAGCAGCCTTGTGAAGATAACCTTGAGCAACTTCGGCTATGTCTTGTCTTCCTCAGTGGAAGCAGTCTTAAAATGGACTTCCAGATCCGAGCTTCAGGAGCAATGCACCGTGCTCAATGGATGTTAAAGCTAAAGAAAACTGCTAAAGAAAAGCGAGATCTTAAAGAGTTGGCGCACTTGCTTTCTCTTATTTATGGACATTTCTGGCACAAGGCTCCATTGAGTTTACACGCAACCCTGAATGATACGATGATGCTTGGATCTCTTAAGAAATATCCAAACAGTATCATTGCTGATGCGGTCTGCACAGCATTGATCCAAAATTTGTGGTTTTTCTCAGAACATCTCATGGGTCTAACTTTCTTTGACAATTGAGCCCCTCCAAATTTCAAAAGAGATGATAACCAACCTTTAGCTTCCAAAGACTCAAATTTCTGTTGATTGTGATTTTCAGTTGATGAACAGTGCATAACAAGTTTGTGATAGACTGTTGATGTTGATAATGGTGTACTTTACAGGTCTTCTCCACTTGCTCTAGCAATTGCCAAATTTAGCAAATTTTTTGTCAGATAAATTGATTCCACCAAGTGTGGATGAAACATCTGGAGAAGACAAATATCTAGCTTTTTAATTTAAGGATTTTGTTTACTATCATTTGATTTGGTTAACAGTTTTTTGTAATAAACCAGAATTTTTTTTTTTTTTTTTGCCTATGTACATCTTTGCTTCCAAAAAGGCTGCAAACAACCACTATAAAGGTGAATTTCCACCTAATTTTTTTTTTCTTTCCTATCCCGTTCCAGTAAAAAAATGGATGAGTGGAAACTCGCCTTAAAAGTTGAAAGTTACTGGAAGAGAAAAGATGAAGCTTGAAGAGCAAGATAACAATTGACAGACGACTTAAAAGATTGCAAATTATATGAATCAGGAGAGCAAGATGAAGGAAGCGAATTCCGAAGAACTGATGTTTGAGGAAAAAAACTAAACGAATAAGAGTTTTTGAAACAGTCACAGAAAAAGAACGAGACTTAATTGAATGACAAGTAACACAAGAATGAATTTTAGCAGATGGCACGAGACGCTAGCTCTTTAGAGCAGTGCCCTTTTAAGTATTTATAGAAAAGCGAAAGAGAAGCAACATCACAACGATGTAGTAATGGTTGAAGGTTGGCTGCAAGAGCAGGTCCAAGTATGTTTACAATGTGTTTTTGCACCTTGTCTAAAAGAGAAAGGGCATCATTAGAAGATCCGCCCTAGATATGGCAACAGTATTCCATACACAAATTTGAGATTTATAGAGATAAAGAATAGAATCCAGAGTAAGAAAGTGACGAGCACAATAAAGAGATGCAACCTTAGCAGATGGTAATGGATTTGATATACAGTTTCCAAGAAAGATCGGAAGTAAGAGTTAATTCTAGAAGATGAAGGGTAGATGACTCATCAAGTACATTACCGTTCATAAATATAAGATCTAAATTTTTGCGATAACGATTGGCTGAAAAAAATTGATTTCTATCCGAATTAAAGTTTACCAGCCACTGTGAACCCCACGCTGTAGCAGAAGTTAGATTTCTTATTTCCATTTCATAATTATCATCATCATCAGAAATGTCACTGACTTCTGTTTCTTTACAATCAGTATCACTATCAAGAGTAAAAGTGGCAACAGTAAGGCATAAAGACAGCATTTGCTGTCTTTATGCCTCTATTAACTATTCTGCTTTCTTTTTAGTTCCACTTGTCAATGCTCGCTCTTCTTGAGATGATTTTACATCTTCTCCACCCATCTTTATCAAACAAGCATGCTGTACGTCTTCCAGAATATCTTATCTTCATCAATTTTAATTAGACTGTTTTCATCCTTGTGTGAAATGTCAACAAGTAATTTTAATTTTATACTGAAATCTTTCTTGTTAGAAACCTGTGACTCACTGGCTCTTCCTTTATTTTTATTTTTAAATTGTATTCATCAACACATTTACTTTTGATACAATATGGGGCTGGCGACAATCCTGGCGACAAAATGAATTATAACGTTGCTATGCTTTGAAGAGGCTCAGCACCAATACCTAGTTTATCCCGTCAGATAAAAATCATAACCAAAGAAGTTATCTTATTAAATAAAGTAGCTCATAAAGGATAATGGTACATAAACTTTGTTAAATATTTTCTGAAAATCAGAATATGGGATAAAATTGACAAATTTTTGAGCATAATGCTATTTGACTTATATTGACTTTCCCATATTGTTTTTTCTTTTAAAAAGGAAAGAGAAAATATGTATCGTCATCTGTTTGTAAATATATTTGTACAACTATAATGTAACAAGTTTATATCAAAAGTTAAATTATATGATCGCGATTTGCAATCTCTGGTAAAAAAACAGGTCTTTAAAATTTTAGTTCATGCAAAGCTGTGTACTTTGTTTATAAGGAGCAAATTATTAAAAGTTTGCTAGCGAGAAAGTTACAAAAAACAAAACAAAAACAATAAACTTACGACTACAAAAGTAATAACACTGAAGTCACTAACTGCATGATAAAAGTAATAAAACTATAATAGTGTTATTACATTTATAAAGCACTTATCACTTTTAAAGTTCATTTTTTGTTCAAACAACATTATTAATTCCAAACATTTATTAAAGTAGAAAAGCATCTAGAAAAAATAAAGCGGATATTCAAATATTATTAAAAATTTCAGGAACTTTCACATATAACTTAAACAACGTTATAAAAAAGTACTTAATAAAAAGAATAGCATTATGAAAAACGTTACGTAAATACGCGCGTTAATTTTAAAATCAACCAATAAAAAATTTTTGTTTAATTTTAAAATTAACGCGCATTATTACGGTCCATTAGTAACGTTTTTCATAATGCCAAACTTTTAATACAATACGTTTTCATAAAGTTGTTTGTCACGTTTTTATAAGTTACTTTAGTTTTAACATTATTTGAACATCCACTTTACTTTTGTAATGCAGTTAGTGACTAGAGTGTTATTACTTTTGTAATCGTAAGTTTATTGTTTTATTTTTTCGCTAACAAATTTAAGTTGATTCTCCCCTTAAAAACAAGGAACACGGTTTTGTATAAACTAAATTTTGAATACTAAATATTTTTCCAAATTTTGCGTTTTGCATTCGCTTAATTTAACCCTTGTTGTTACATTAAAATTATACAAATAAATTTTACAAACACATTGCAATTTGTATTTTTGCTATCCTCTTAAAAAAAAATTAAGAAAAAGTCTACAATAAAAAGAAAAAATCATTCTTTTTATTGTAGACTTCAAACTGTTTTTTTTTCTAGTTCTAGTTTTGTTGCTGAATATAACTCTAAAGAAACAAAAATAAAAACAGTACACAAATTATTTAAATTATTAATTTGTTTTTATTTTTTTCTACTTCAATCTCTTTTTATTTTGTTAGTTTTGTTTTTTTGTTTTTGAAACTTTTTCAGCATTATTATAAAACTTGCAAATGGTTATGTTCACATTTTTTAAAATATTATAATTGCGTGTGGTCATACGAGACAAAAAACCGCACGCCTTTCCTGGGAAGGCTTGATATATATATATATATATATATATATATATATATATATATATATATATATATATATATATATATATATATATATATATATATATATATATATATATATATATATGTATGTATATGTGTATATGTATATATGTATATATGTATGTGTGTCTGTATGTTTATAAATATATATAGCAATAGTTATATGTTAAAAAAAATAAATAAAAAACCTCAAATAAAATTATACTATAATAAAAAGTACTTGTTTTTTGCGAGGTATAGAGTTCCGTGTATTCTTTGTTATATCTTTCTTGTTTTTTAAGTTCTTCTCCTCTATATCAATCTGCAAGTCTGTCTCTTGTTTAACAACAGAAGGTTTTGAATGAATTTTCTTTTTCTATACAAATTTTAACAAAACTTTAAATTGATAAAAGTTGAGTTAATAAAAATGTCATAACTAACAAAAAAATTGAAAAAGTTTAGATACCTTTTTAGATTTTTCATCAAGTTGGTTATTTTGTTCTTTAAGAAGTTTTAAAAGGTACTCTGCTCTTGATTGCAGATGCTTATCTTGTGGTTTACCATTATTATTAGGTAAAATCTAAATTAAAATAACACATATAAAACTTTGATATTTACACTACAAAAAAAAAACTTAGTAAAATAAAGGATTTAAGTAGTTATATTTTATAATTAAAAATTAATTTAAAAAAATTAAATCGAACTCACTCTCAGCTTAACCACTGATTAAAATAGGAATGAACAGAAAACTAAGATAAAAGTTACCTAACAACAAATATAATTTACAGCCTTCTGGTCAACAGAAGGCTGTAAATTATGTTAGTCAGGAATATATAAAGACAAGAGAGAACTCCAAATCACCGTCAAAAATTTTGATTTTGAAAATATAGTTTGCAAAAAATAAACTAAATGAATAAAATAAACAATACTTAAACAATATTTGTTTAGAGATAAAGAAAAATAGCTCATTTAATATGATCTGAAATGATAATGAAAAGTCTTGGTAAGAAGGAAAACAAATAATAACATAGAGAAATATGATTAAGAAAGGTGATTGAGTGAAGCGATACTAAACAAAAGCACATAAAAAAAATAGTCAGAGAATTCTTTCTAAAAATCCTGATTTTACTACAAATAGACAAATTGTTGTGTACATACCAATAAACTTCAAAATTAAGATCGGAAGATCAAGTAGTCAAATTTAAATTTGGTGGTAATATTTTTATGCTTTTTTTAATCATTATTTTTAGCAAATAAATATATAAAACAAAACAAAAAATTCATGATTTAAATTGTAACACTTTAAGCAATAAGTTTGTATAAGTATGCAATTGTCTTCACTAACTAACCGAAAAAACCTTATGTGGCCTCAATAATGCACATTGAAAGCACTAACAGAGACACCTTCCATGCTAACATGGCACAGTTAATACTCTGATACTTTACAGCTGTTGATGGAATAAGCCTTTCTGAGAGCTTTCATAGAGCTTAGGAAGCTTTACTATTAGCCAGAAGCAAACAAGTATTAGAGCTGAGGATTAGAGTTTTAAAGCTCATTTTCGCTTGCCAAAAATTTTTTGTCGAGGAGGTTTTTGTTACTTTTATCATATAAGCATCCAGCTACTGCCCTTTTACAAAGCAGTAGCTGGATGCAGTTAACATATGGCCAATGATTGTTTTATCAAGACACAACCTCTAGTCTTTATTTAACCAAGTTCTTCGAGACAAAGGGTCAGAGTTTACCTAGCTTTTACCTAGTAAAGCAAATCTTATGAATCAGCATGTCATGCAAAAGGTTGCACTAATTGTTTTAATATGTTATTATTAATAATGTTTTTGTTATAATCAATAAATATTATTTCTCAAGTTATTAGGAGTAAATATAATCCTAAATATGTTAACCATTTCTATGATGTAATCTAACTATTTTTACTTGAAAAATGAACATGATTCAGCTACATTCAGACATGTTTTAAAAGCAAACACATCACAATAATTATTTCTTTTCGTGCATAGAACAAAAATAGTTGTTTTGTAGTTGATTGCAATGTATAAATGAGTATACAATCTAGAGTTAAAAATGTTTAATTTCTATTTAGCTGTTTGTTTCTACTGAATTACTCAGGTGTGGACAAAGTGTTTTTTTTAAAAAATGAAATAGAATTTATGGGTTTTTTGTTTTTATTATTTAAGTTTAGAAAACTATTATTATGACATTGTCATTTTTTGCTAAAATTTTAATGTTAAACAATTGCATTATGATATTCATCAAATTTTATGGAAATCTCCATATTATGATTGTCATGCAGTCATTAATATTTTTTTTTATTTTGATAATGATATCTAGCATTTAAAAATAAAACCCAAAAAAAACAAAAAACCCTTTAAAACCCAAAAAACAACTTTCTGAGACTCCACACCGATCGTTTCTATACTTATTCCTTCAATATTAATTCAATATTTTTAGTCAACGGTAGAAAAACAATTCATTAAAAAAAAATTGCTTTAATTAAAATAAGGCTTTTTTTTAATATTCTGTGTTCGTATTACAGGATAAAATCCTTTACAACATGTAATATCCGTAGATTTGTAAATTTTAAGTCTCGATAACAAATATTAAAGTACAAACAAATGAACAAACTCTGATAGAAGATCATAATGATCTAGTGTTGAAAATTTCCGGAAATTTTCAACCCTAATAATTTGCGGAACAAGTATCAGAACAAACAAACTATTAACTTGTTTGTTTCTTGTTTCTTCTGTTACTTGTTCCGCAAAATATTATGGTTGAAAATTTCCAGAAATTTTGCGTAAATTTTCAACACTATAATGATCTTATCGCCGGAACCATTTTTCAAAAAACAACTTTCAAAAAACCAACTTTCTGAAATAATAAAAAGTGGGTTTTTTGAAAGTTGTTTTTTGAAAAAAAAAAAAAACTTTCAAAAAACTCTGGAATTACTTATTTTAAAAACTGTTTTATAGTTAGATTTATTGGTAAGCCACAACTTCTTCTAATGTTCTCCACTACGACAATACAGCCATTAGGATAATTTGCTGGTTGTGCATCCTGTATATCAATACCAATCCTGTATACAGAATTTACACACAGAGACCCCAGGATGAATCAATTAAAGGGTCCTCATAAATTTTTTCAATGAAAAGTTGTTATATAGTATATATAGCATTAAGTTATTTTTTGAATTTTAGTTCAGCAATTTGGCTTATATATTGATTTTTTTCTACAGTGAACTGAGTGTGCACTACAACAAACTTCTGTTATGAGTTCCTTTGAAAAAACTTGATGGTGACACAACTGGACCACGATGCTTCAGATCTTGGCCCAGTTGTGTCACCATCAAAATTTTTAAATTTTAATTTTTTAAATAAAATTTTTGCCACAAAGTTTTACTCAAAAATGTATCCCTAATCAGAATATTTTAAATTGTGAAATAAATACTTTTTTTAATATTAGTATGCTAATGTATTTAAGCATAAAAGTTTGGCTTTAAAATCTTTAAACAGTTACCAAATTAATTATCTTTAAGCCAAGTTAAACAGTTACCAAATTAATTATCTTTAAATCAAGTTAAACAGTTACCAAATTAATTATCGTTAAACAGTTACCAAATTAATTAAATAGTTTGATTATTATAAATGTAAAAAAACTGTTATTTAAATTAAAATCATTCACCGATGTAAATATTATTATTTTTAATTTGGTAAATATTATCTCAAAACGAAAACTTCCACTTATAGCACTTTTTAAGGTGTTTTTTGCATAGTCTCTGAAATCTTTAAAATCAAATCCACAAGCGGTTCTTTATCAAAAATCTCTCAAATTTTTTGAGTAATCTTACTTCAACAGCCTCCAACTACTGCAGCATTACACAATATGTGGTAGCAAAATTGACTTACCCTATCATTTTTCAATTAGATTATTTGAAGAGTCTTTTAAAATAGTTTAGGCAGAAAACATTAAATTATAGTATAAATTTATGTAAAAAAACATTTTCACCGCAATTGTGAACTAATTTATTTTTAGAAAAAACAATAAAAAAGTTAAATTTTTTTCTACACTCAAATATAATAAAATGAAATTAAAAATTAAAAATTTTTTAATTTAAATTCATTTTATTATATTTAAATTAAATTTATTACTAAATAATAATACATTTTAACTCATTTTATTTAACTAAATTTAATTTTTTTAAAATTAAAATGATCTAAAATAAATAATAATAAAAAAAATGCTAACTATAGAAAATATATATATATAAAAATATATACTATATAGAAAAAAAAACAACATAATAATTATTTCTTAAAAAAGTCATTATAACAGCATTATCATCATATGTTTGCTTTAAAAAGTTAAAAAATAAATTCAAAATATAATATATTAAATATAATAAAATAATAAATATTAACTCTATACCTTGCAAAAATATGTATTATTCGAATAATAACTATTTATTTGAAAAATACTAAAAAAATTTGAATAAACCGAATAATTCTTACTTTTCCATTTAACATAAGAGAATGATCATTTTTTATGGCATCCCAGTTTCCAAGACCATGAACTAAAATTCCAACAAGCAGCATCGAATCTTCAACAACACCCCAAGGTATGCCCCAATGAACACTACGCGTTGGGGTAGTTAATCTATAGCTAAAAAGATGATGGATACAATTATATCAAAATTTATGCTAAAAACTTGTCATGCAAAGAAAAAATCTTTCTTTAGTTATGCTTTTATGTATACCTTTTTTGATTTTTATGATCATTAGGTAAACAAAGTGATAACGGTTCAAGATCAATTTCTGCTTTTAAAACTGATGGTGCATTAATTGTAACACCTCCGATCTTTAATGTAGCACCTTTTTTTCTTCCTTTGAAAAAAAAAAAAACAAATAAAAAAAAAAAAACAAATAAAAAGAAAATCTATTTTCAACTGAAAAATGGTGTACCATCAAAATTTTCATCCTGATGCAACTTCTCTTGGTATTCTTTAACAGCTTGCTCACATGACAATTTTAGTAAAGTACCAAGATTCTGGAGTTCGCTTAACCGCTTTTCAGTTAGTTCAGCATCTTCAGCAATAGAATCCAGTCTATTTTTGTCGTATACTAAGTCATTAGTATTATATAAAAGCAAAACAATTTTTTTCAAATAATTTAATAAATTTTTAAAATTATTAGTTATTTAACAAAAGTACTTAATAATTTTTAAAATTATTAAGTACTTTTGGTTTTTTTGGTGAATAAAAAAAAATGTTTAAAACTTAACAAACAGAGAAATAAGTAAATACCTTGTCATTGGTCTTGAAAATTTTTTGAAACTTTTAATAAATCTAAAAAATTTTTTTTTTTGATTAGCACTAAGTAGTCATGCTTTTACTTCTTTTTTTTTTTTTTTAAAAGACTGTTTTACCTTCTGATCTCAGCATCTGAAAAACCTTTAATTTCATCTTTAGATACAACTTTTGATTTTCTACTTGGCTTTTTTAAAACTTTAGCATCTTCATTACCAGAGTCAGAATCAGTTGATGTGTCAGTATCAACAATCTCTTTAGATTTAACTTTTTTGGATTCAACACCAACATGCATCTATTTTGTAAATTATTTTATATAATATAAAAATATAAATATTATTCAGCATCAGAAAATTAATTCCGCTAATCACAAATACAAAAAGTGATGAGCCTAATTACCATAAAATTGATAATTTAAAAAAAAATCAATAAATTTATTTAAAAAATCAATTATAAATACTTAAAAAAAATAATTAATAAAAACCTTTACAACTGTTTTACGACTTCTAGGTTTTAATGTACTATTTTTTCCTTCTTCAAGCTCATTTTCAACTTGTTTTCTGTCTTCTTCGGGAATAATTTCATTCCAAAGCTTTTGGATTGGTGTTGTCAACTCTGCTTTAATATCTTCTTCGTTAAATGCAGCATAGTTCACTACCTATTTATGACAAAAACAACTAACAAAAAAGATTATATATATATATATATATAAAATCTTTTTTATTGATTGTTTTTGTTACAAATAGGTAGTGAACTATGTTGCATACAATATACAAGTTTAAACAACTCACCTTGAACTGAGATAACAGCTCTTCGCTAACACTGTTTATAGAATCAACAGTATCCTGTGTTTCAGCACGTTGCAGTATCTCATCTATGTCCATTGCCTAGTAAATGTTTAAAACATTTGACATATTAACTTTTTAATCAGTAAATCAATTTTTATTGTAAAAAGATGGAATAGTTCATTAAAAATTATTTAAAACAATACAATAAGTCAAAACATAAAACAACTATTTTTATAGCAAATTGAAAAAAAAACATTTAAATATATGTAAGCCATACATTAATATAAATAAAATTTAAATAAAATAAAAACAAAATTAAAAATAAATAAAAAAAAAACCTAAAAATTAAAAAATTAAAAATTAAAATTTTTTTAACATACATGTAACTTTTGATCAGATTCGTGATCATGATCCTTGAACAACTCTTCAGCTCCAAATTTTAAAATGCTGGAAAGTTCTTCTTTTTTAAATGGAACACTTCTATAATAAGTCATTTTGCACTATATTTGTTTTAATAATTAAAACCTTTTTAAAAAATTATAAAAGTTCAACAACACAAAAAATATTTAACACAAAAGTTTAGAACAAATTTAAAACTATATAGAGATGCTAAAATTGCTAAAATTGCATGGTTTGATCAGTAGTCGTGCTAATTGATCAAAAACAAACAATGGCAGTTTCAACAAGATATGGTGCCTCTCCATACAGGCACCATATCCATTAATGTAAAGCATGGATAAAAGAAAATAATTGCCTGGGCCAGCTTGATCAGCAGATTTTAATCCAATCAAAGCTATTGTAAATAAACACATGTGCAAATCATATTTTGACTTTGATGGACAAATAATTAGTCAAGATACAAATAAGAAATCAACACAAAAAAGTGTATGCATGTAAAAAAGCATGATAGGGATATTTTAAATACTAGTTTATTTTTGTTTTGCTTGTATTGTTTATTTTTGCTTTGATGTATCACATTTATTGATATTCTTTTATACTGTTTAATGTTTTTATTAGTGATGTAAATTAAAAAAAAAAAATTTTTGTAAAGAAATCTTTAGAAAAGCATTAGGAGGAATTTGCACTTATTGAGTTGTTTCCATGACTTCAATTTAATCAACAAAGATTACATGCTTTAAGCACATGTGCAAATCAATTTAAAGATCAGAAATAAACCTAGTATTCAATTAACCAGAAGTTTTTGGCCTTAGGTTACGCAACGCTAAATTTCTCTAATAAATCAAACAAAAAGATCAAAAGTTTTCCCTCGCATAGCCTCAAGTTAAATAAAAAATAGTTCTAATGAAAATTTCTGCGTAAAAGAGATAAGGTTCTCCTACTTCTTTTTTTTAAACAAATTTAGCATTGCATTATGGACAATTTTTTACTTTAACTTCCATTCATCATATCAAAATCACCTCTCAACATTTTACTGAAAACAAAAAATCTAAAAAAAATATAACGCCTTCCTCATATTTTTTAGTGTGAATGTCTAGAAAGATATATTTCCCTCATTGAAGGACATAAAGTAAAAATGTAGAAGCCCTGATGCAAGTTAAGCAAATGAGATGTTGTTTTTCATCAGGAATCAAAAAATGAGTGATAGCCCTAGTTAATAGGGTACTACCAATTTGTAAAATAATAATAATAAAGATTATTTTTTAAATGTACACACTTTTAACAATTTACACTTGTGTCGTGCATCGACAATTTACACGTGTTGTGCATCGGCTGCACCTGTTTCTTGCGATTTTCTACCAGTATTATTTTATCCCTCAAAAAACCAAATACTCTTTTTTCATGTTGCAAGTTTTTAAAAGGTTTTAGTTTTAAATTTTTATTCTATAGATTATTTGCTATAATATGATGTCATTAACACTTTGCACATTTTTATACATTTATCTACAGGTGACAATAGGTATAATAGACTTAAGTTGTATTAAGAAATAGCCAGCAGATTAAACAAAAGTACATATTTTTTACAAAGCATATATTTAAACATGTGTGTGGTTTTTTGTCTTATATGACCACACGTGAGTATTTTATTTTAGACAACTTGGTCATCGCTGTTTGCAAGTTTTATTATATTAACAATTGCGTAAAAAACTAAGTTTCAAAAACAAAAAAAAGCAAAACTAACAAAATAGGAAATTACAATAAATTTAAATAGAAACAAATAAAAAGAAATTAATAATTTAAATAATTTGTGTACTGTTTTTTTTTTTTGTTTTTTTAGAGTGGTTGTTATTTTTAGCAACAAAATAAAACAAGGCAAATCAAAAATAAATAAATAAGAAAACCTATATTTTATTTGTTTTTTAGAGGAAAACAAAAATATAAATTTACATCTGTTTGTAAAATATATTTGTATAATTTTAATGCAACAAGCATATATTGTCCCTATATGAAAACTGCGTATATATATATATATATATATATATATATATATATATATATATATATATATATATATATATATATATATATATATATATATATATATAACTTTATGTATTATATAATTACATTATTCTAAATGTATTAATACGCATGTTTAGTTTATTTGGATAAAGCGTTATCTTCATAAATGGAATGCCCATGGTTCAAAACCCACCTTTTTTTTCTCCACAGAGCTGGCGATAAAAAACAATTGGGGGTAAAAAACATACAGGAAAGGTAATAAGAAACAATTAAACCTATGTGAAAAATGTGTAGGCGGCATGGCCTAATTGAAGCTTGAAAACTATGTATATATAAGTGTGTGCTTACACCAGGGTTAAAATATACTTAAAGGCTTAAATGGTATAAGAAATCTAAATGTAATGAGATGCAACCCTCAGAATTAGGGTTGGCATTTGGCAATGCCAACCTAAAAGTGTTAAAGGTTGGCAAAAAATTGCTGACCTCGTTTCTATCTTTTATGGTAACCCCTTTGTGTCAATTTTTTTTTGACGACCTTATGCTGACCTCTAACAGTTTCAGACCTCATTTTTTCTAATACTAAGGGTTGGAGATGTGTATCATTCAACAAAATACAAAAAAAAAAGATTTTTTATATACAAATAAGAAAAGATAAATGGTTACAAAAAAAACACATGGCCAGTGGTATTTAAAAGAAAAACAAAAAATAATGGACAGTTGTAGGAATCAAACCTCAGAAATTCTGTTTATGAAGTTAACGCCTTATCCAAATAAACACTAAACGTGCATATACTCAGTTTAAAATAAATATAATTATATAACACAAAAAGTTATACATAAAAGTATAGGCATGCATCACATAGAGGTTTTTTATAGGGACAATATCTACTTGTTACATTTAAAATTATACAAATATATTTTATAAACTTAAAACGTTTTTTTTTTTTTTTTTGCTTTGAATTACCGAGTTTCATTGCTGAAAATAACAACTTTTCTAAAGAAAAAAGAAACAGTACGCAAATTATTCAAATTATTCATTATTTTTTTTCTATTGAAGTTTATTTTAATTTGCATTTTTGTTAGATATGCTTTCTTTGTTTTTGAAACTTTTTTCAGCAACACTTAATATAACAAAACTAGCAAACGGCTGCAATCAAGTTGTTTAAAATATAATACTCACGCGAGGTCATACAAGACAAAAAATTGCACACGTTTCCTGGAAAGGTTTGCCTATTTTACTTTTATATATGATAAAATAAAGCTTTTCATACATTTTGTTATAAATATTATTTAACAATTAACAATATCTTTTAATAGAAAATTACAAAATTTATAATTTTCTATTAAAATGATTTTAATAGAAAGTTACAAAATTTACCAGGCTGTAATTTTTTTAAACTTACCAGAAAAATTACTGCCAATATTAGTATCCATATTATTGTATATATGTATGGATATATGTGTGTATGGATGTTATATATGCATGGATGTATGTGTGTACACATATGTTACTTTTGGTTGTCATTTATATATACATACTTTTTCTCTTCCTACATAGTTTTTGATATTTTTTGTTGTGGAGGTTTCGTTTACTGTTTTTATCATTGTTGCTATATTTTATTCAATCTTTATTTATTTTTATTGATTAGCAAAATTCGATCTAGGTATCTATGGCAGCATAAACTTTTTTAAACTATTTTTTTTTTCTTTGGTTACTAGTGTTACAGTGTGTGAAGATTAAAAAGAAAAGTAGATGTAGAAGTAGAGCAACTGAAAAAAAAATAAAAAAATGCAAGTCTTCAAAAAAAAAAAAATTTAATTTAAAACTATGGCATATAAATTTGTTGAATGGTCACACATAAGCAGTAAACACCTGAGGGAAAAATGAAGTACATAAGAATTGAGAATTATTTTTCAAACAACGCTTTAAACTTTGACAGTCAACAATGATACAAGGCATAATATAAAAATGCAATTTTTCTTTTTTTGGCATAAATGATCTTTGCAATACTAGTTTTTAAACACAATTGAATTTTTAAGTATGTTATTCAAGATGCAAAATTTGTTTAACAAAAATTTTTTTTGCATAAATAAAACAACTAAAAAAAAAGATTAATATCTTCTTAAGTTTTTATTTTATGAGCATATATATAAAACTCAATGTTCTTAAAAAACATTTAACACTTTATTTTATTAAATCAATAGAAGGTTCTATAATAAATTAGTAGAAATTACTTTTTAATTTTTTTAATTTTTATTTATTAACCTATTTTTCTATATATTTTGAAAATAAACCTTACGCTGAAGAAAGGGCATTATTAGATTTTGAAAGAATTCTTCTTCCAGTAGTATCCATTCGTTGAATAATCAAATGGTCAAGAACCATCTTTTTTTTTGCACGCTCAATAATATCTTCCTCAACAGTATTTTTTGTAACAAATCTGTAAGATAATATAATCATTAACTAAATTAAAACATACTAATAATATTATTAAATATTGCTTATTATATTCATCTAAAAAATATGAAAAGTAAAAAATTTTTTAATCCTTTTCTTTTTAAACTTTTAACTAATATGTACTATATTAGTGTATCAACTATATACACATACACACACACACACACATACATATACAACCCTCGGAATTAGGAAAAATGTTGGCCAGCATATTATTGCCGACCTCAATCTTTTTGAGGTCGGCATCAGGTCGCCAAAAATTATTTGATACAAAGGTCTGACCATAAAACATAGAAACAAGGTCGGCAATTTTTTGCTGACCTCAAGCACTTTCAGGTCGGCAGTTATGTCAGCATTGCCGAATGCTGACCCTAATTCTGAAAGTTGTATGTATGTATGTATATAAATATATATATATATATATATATATATATATATATATATATATATATATATATATATATATATTTAAATATATATACATACATATATATACATTAGAGTGTCTCTAAAAGCAACTTTTTATAAAATTGTCTACTGCCACCCCTTAAATGTGTTCTATGTAATAAATTAACACTAAATTAAAAAAATTTTTGAATAAAAAATTTTTTAGGGGTTGCTCAAGACCCTTAAATATCAAACGGGTCCCTAATATTTTGAAAAAAAAAGTTCTTCAAAATTATATCATGTTGGGTCTCAAAAGAAGTGAAATTATATAAAAATTTCAAAAATAATAAAAACAAATTATGGAAACACAAATTAAAAAAGTTCATTTAAAAAAACTTTTAAAAGATTTACTTTCTATTTTTTGTTAAAATGATAGTTTTTAAGCCATAAAATTTAAACTAGCAATCTTTATATAAAATGATTACTATTTAATGTTAATTTATTACATAGAACACATTTAGGGGGTGGCAGCAGACAATTTCAAAAAAAGTTGTTTTTAGAGGTACTCCAATATACATATATATATATATATATATATATATATATATATATATATATATATATATATATATATATATATATATATATATATATATATATATATATATATATATATATATATATATATATATATATATATATATATATATATATATATATATATATATATATATATATATATATATATATATATATATATATATATATATATATATATATATATAAATATATATATAAATATATATATATATATATATATGTATGTATATATATATATATGTATGTATACATGCCACGGCTGTTTCACTCAATATAAAAACATGCGTAACATCATGAGTTTATCAAAAAAAAAAAGTATTTCCGCATAAAAAGTATAAAAATTCACTAACTTTAAATTAATAGTAACTTTTTTATATAAATGCTTTCATCTTGCAATTAAAAAAATATCTATCTTTCCTTGTTAAATAAATATTTACATTAATTGGTATAAAAATAAATATTGCCAAAATATTTTTAATAATTTAGAACCACTTTTCTAATTTTCGCATATTTTCCGGAAAACATGAGTTGGGCCAACTAAGATTTCATAACATAGCTCAGTGCTTGATAGTTGAAATTTAGAACACTTAACCCTAAATGTCCATTCTATCAGATTCCTGCGTCATCCTAGAGATTTTTTTACAAAAAGACTGTTTTTAAAGGGATCCCTAACTCCCAACACATGTTGTGTTCATATTAAAGATAATGTTAAAAAAAAAGGTTTGAACCAAATTTTTTTGATTAAAAATAAATAATGAATGCATACCATGAAAAACAAATGTTGTTGTTTTTGCCGAAGCTCGTCTTCTTCATTTTTTTCAACTAATCGGAGTCTTCAAATTATGCGTCGCAATCTACAGACTTTAGCAATTCCTTTGAAGCGTGTTTAATTCATAAAAGTTTTAGTATTTGACGTCACGGTAGACTTATAATAAATTAAACTCTAGAAATATTTTTATTTATTTTTAGTCGAAGTTTTTTTGATTATTTGTTTAGTTTTTTTTTTTTTTTTTCTACTTTTAATATTTAAAAAGATATTAAAAACCTTAAATATTTTATGCTGGTTCGTTGCTATAAATTGTTATTGCGCCATAAATTTAATGTTTTTAAATTATGAATATTTATTATCTCAAAAATTGTTTTACATTAATTACCCGTATAAAATTAGTAACAGCTTTTTTATTTGGTTAGACGATATTTCGTTTCAATTTGCTTTGCATGAAGTTCGGAAAGTCAAACGAAAAAAATTAGTTTGAATAATCACGTAAATCAATATATATTTAAAACAAATTATTTTAATGACGGGGGTTCTATAGTTTTTTATAACAAATGTAGGTAAAAAAATAAACAACTAAATAAAAAGTTCAGTATTAAACACCATTTCTTTATTCTATTGCAACTGTAAATATTGAATTATTAACTTGAACTAAATTTACTTATTATTTAGAACGACTAAGCAATAAAAATAAAATGCTCCTAAAATTATTCGAGATTGTGTTGTTTATTTGATAATTGTTGTTGACAATGTTGTTTATGTTGATTATTTTCATAAATATCAAAATAGTTCCAGATTAACCTTTCGTTGCTTTGCTCATTGTTGATTTATTTCTAATTTAATTTTATCTCAAACTATAATTATATGTTAAAAAAGAAAAGTTTTTATTTCATCGGGCGCTCTTTTTATAAAAGAGTAGAACAAAAGAGAAAGAAAAGTTTTGCGCAATTAAACTTTGAATGAGTAAGAGTTGTATAGAATATATATATTTTTTTGCTTCACTCATTCTTTTTTTAGATGAGAGAAATAAAAGTTTAATAGTAAATTTTCTTTGAATAAGTGAGAATTGGAAGAGAAAATTGCTTGAAAATTTGTATTTGTTAATTGTGTTTTTAAAAATTTTTAACTTTTCATGTTAAGAGATAAACGCCAATTACGACACAAATTTGGAAATACCAAATATAATATGTTTTTTAATTCGCGTTATGACATTTTAACAATTTAAATTACCATCTATCTTGAATTATTGCCTTTAATTTATGTGTTAATTATTGCGTTATTTAATAATAATTTGTCCGTATTTAATAATAATTTGTCCGTATTTAATAATAATTTTTGTTAAATATTAGTTGTATAAAACGGGCGAAAATATACAAACTTTATGTTTTTTATTTGATGGTTATAAAATATTGAACAGTAAACTTATAATCAAAATTTCTAATGCCGACTTGTGTTGCAATTAATTGTACTTTTAATGCAAAATCAGGATCTCACAAATCCTTTCACGAATTTTCATATCTGATACTACTGTCAACTGTATTGTTTAGTGTATTCTTGCACTTTTTTTTCATAATCTTAACAGGTTCTAATTGGTATAGAGTTGCTGACACTTTAAAAATTTCATTATCAAAAATCAAATATAAAATAAAATGGTATTTCCTTTTTATCCGTATCCAATTCAGCAAATTTAGCAATTTAAATTAAATCAGCGTGATCAAAAAAATTTTATAATAAAAAAAGTTAACAATTCATTAAATATCTCTAATTAATACTGTCAGTTTATGAAAGTAATTGTTAATAAATACTTTTTTTCGACGGGAAAACAAAAAATTGTCATAGCGTTAAAACAACCAGAGAAGTTAGAAAATAGTTCCCTTTGTTTAAATAAAAATAATTAAGAATCAGAATATATAATACTGCGCTCTCTTGCGCAAAAACAAGAGACCGTATATAAAACGTTCTATATAAAGTAAAATACTCGTATGAAAATCATGAGATTGGTAAGTAAAGCTTTAATATTTGTTTTAATTAAAATAATTAAAGAAATATAAGTAAGATATATAAATCTAAAAATTATTAAGATATCTGTAAAAAATAAGTTGCTCCTATAAAATAAAAATAATTTATTGTTTTTACTTTTTACAAAATTTTTTTTGCGATGTTTGGAAAAATAATACAAATAAATTTGTTTTGCTGTATGTTAAAAAAATACTACAGTAAAAAAACGCAGCTTAGTTTAATTACACTTTTCTTTTGTTAAAAGTCTACCGTGACGTCAAATACTAAAACTTTTATGAATTAAACACGCTTCAAAGGAATTGCTAAAGTCTGTAGATTGCGACGCATAATTTGAAGACTCCGATTAGTTGAAAAAAATGGAGAAGACAAGCTTCGGCAAAAACAGCAACATTTGTTTTTCACGGTATGCATTCATTATTTATTTTTAATCAAAAAAATTTGGTTCAAACCTTTTTTTTTAACATTATCTTTAATATGAACACAACATGTGTTGGGAGTTTGGGATCCCTTTAAAGCATTTATATTTTTTAATTGATTGTTTTTAAATGCAAAACGTAACTTTTCTGATGGATGACGTAAGTTAATGAAATTTTAACCCTTTATGCAAATGAAAATAAAAAAATTATTTTACGTGCCTTCAGCTATGTTATGAAATATGTTTTCAAAAATGTCATGTTTTACAACTAATCTTGTTAGTTTTAGGCGTACATTTGTGTTGATGTTTTTTTGCGATGACGTAACCTTTATGCGTTACGTCCCAAACTATTTATTAACGAATATTCTCCAAACAACTGTTTCGGCGAGTCAATTTTTGAAGTATGAAGTAAACAAAGTTACGCGGAATTTTTCTCTTTGGATTATCAAACTAATATCAGATAAGTTGTTAAATCCACTTTTATCTAGTGGATATATTTGTTAATTAATATTATTTTATTTGTTTTTATTATATTGATTAATAAGTCAATATTATTTTGATAATTATGTATTCAACTTAGAGGGAAATTCTAAAACAACATATTGGATGGAAAAATGGTTGGGAAGATAGGTGTAACTTTCCTTTTGTTAAGCAAATAATTAGGACAGATAAGATCAGTAACAATGTCATTTCCATTTTAATGACAGTCTTTAAAATAAGAAGTGATTTATTTAGTTTTATGAGTTTTCTTTTGCCAATTGATTTTGATATGCCTAGTAATGACGAGTTTGATAAAATGTGCCTAAAGTTTACACGCCAAAAAAAGAAAGAAAAAAATTTTAAAGCTATAAAAAACGAAGAATTTTTTATAATGCAACTGTTGCAAGCTCCACCCAAAAAAAAAAAAATCAGCAGATGCAGATGACTTTTTCACTTTAAATAACAGTCAGGAGCTACTGAATCAAATTGATCAATTAACTTCTGAAAATAAAACAAATATGGAGCAAATAGAAAAATTTAAAACCCAAGTATTTAAGTCGGAAGCTGAAATTACAGATTTAAATTCTAAAAATAGGGCTCTCAACACACATTGTAACTCATTAAGTTCTCAATTAGAGACTATGAGTATTAGGCGAAAACAGGAGGAGCAGTTCCAACTTTTTTAAAAAAGAAAAATTAAAACAGCACAACGTAAATTTGCATCTGCTTGTGCCAAAAATGTAAGATTGCTAAAAATATTTAATATTGATAAAAAAAAATTGCAAAAATTAGTGATTTAAGCCAGAACAGTTGCCAAATTTGCAAATGTTTTGCTAGTAGCGATAAGGATTTAGTTGTGGTTGATTCTTATTTAGACTACAACAACATTGGTTCCTCTGAATTATTTTGTGGGTTTAAATTAAGTAATCCACAGAATATATCAGTTAAAAAGCCAATAGTTAGTAAAAAATATACTTACATTAAGTTAGGAAATGGTAAACCTTATTCTAAGTTAGGTAGGCATGCTGCAGCTAGACGATCTAAACTTGCTTTTATATTCCTTCGATTATTAGCTTGTTCAGATTTAGAAAGTGATTTGTCTATGTTGTTTTGTGATTCTATGTCTTGTGAAAAGTCAATATTTTGTTGTGTTGCAAATAAGTTGGGTTTAGTTAAGCAGTTAAGTGTTTCTGATGCTGTAGAGCTACAGAGCTAATTAAGGATCCCCACGGCTGAATTCCGTAGACTAAGTTGTATTCTGTGTAATCTTGGTGCAAGGATTCTCCCATCTGAGCCCAAGATAAGACAAGAACAAGAAATGCGGATTGTGTCCATGTTACTTTATCCATCTGCGAATGAAGCGCCTTGTTTAGTATCTGTACTGATGGTCAAGAATTTGACAACTTATATTGAAGAGGTTTTTAATAATCTTTATGTACACGACCACCTTAATTCAGATGTTGGTTTTGGCAAAGAAGCATGGCTCCTTTTTGCTGGTGATAAGGGTGGGAAGTATTTGAAATTCCATTTTGAAGTTGTCAATTTTAAATCATCAGGGTCTGTATACGATGTTCACTTGTTTTGTATGTATCAGGGTTCAGACTGTTGTAAGAATATAGCCTTAGTTCTTGGGCATTTTGCCAACTATATTAAAAGAATTCAGTCGTCAGATTTTAGGCTAAAAGGCAAAATAGCCAGGTTGTTCTTAGGTGGAGATTTTCATTTTATCAATGATGTTCTGGGACACCAGGGTTCAGCTGCTAGCTTTCCTAGTTCTACAGACCTAATTAAGTTGAATTCTCTAAGAAACCATGCTTCTATGCCTCACACACCTGCTAATTGTAACATCTTAAGGAGGACAATACAATCTCTGGAAAGTGCTTACAATGAGAACTTGTGTGAAAATAGACAAAGTGGAAACCTAAGAACTTTAGGTAAGTTTCATAATTCAATTAATGCTTCTGTGATTTTCCCCATAATAACTTAAGATTATGTAGTACCACCTGTTTTGCACATTATGTTAGGAGTTGTGTTAAAACTGTATAAGTTATTGTTGAAGGAGTGTAAGACTATAGATTGTCAAGCTGTTTCGTCTTTTCGCATAATAAGAATGTGAGAACGAATGAATTGTGGGCTGCTAAAAGCGTTAAATGTTCTAAAACAGCAGAAGCTTTACGTTTATTAGGAAATCAATTTGTAGACATTGCAAATCTACAAGCGCGTTGCTTAGCTTTTAATAAAAATATTTCTGAATTATCTCTAAACTCCTCCAATAAAAAGCAAGAAATGTGTGATAGTATTAGGTGTTTAATTACAAAATACGATTGTAACATTGATTGGGTACAGTGTGGTACATGTCAAAAATTGTTTCATCAATTTTGTAAAATTATTGGTGATTCGGAAAAGAGTGTATTGTGTGACATTGAGAAGTATGAGTGTTTAGCATGTCAGGGTGAAGATATAGAATATCTTGACCTTTATATTTCTGAAAAAAATTTTTTTATACGCGCACAATGGGAACTTTTAGACGTTGAGTATATTCAATTGCAGATGGAGTGTGAAGACCTAGAAAAAGAATATAAAAATAGCATAGGGCCTCATGAGAGGTATTGCATAACTTTATATAAATTATACAATACCTCTCATGAGGCATTGTATAATTTATATAAAATTCAACCTACATATCTTCAAGGGCTTTATAAGGCCCTTGAAGATATGAAGGTTGAGCGACAAGCTTACCATGGTAATGTATTTGTAGGTAATCATTGCAATATAGTATTAAGAAACCACTATAAACTTTGTAGTGTTATTGATGATGAAGCAATTAAAATAGATTTGTACGTGTGTTTAGTGTTTTTAATAAGTTGCAACCTATTCTTTTTTGGCGAAAATTTCTTTCCGATGCCGAAATTACTGAGCTTCATCAATATATAAATTTATTTGCTATTGAGTTTCATGCTTGCTTTCCAAATAAAAGTATCACACGAAAAATGCATGAACTTATTTTTAATGTGCCACTATTTGTAAAATTCCATATAACTATTGGGTTGCTAAGTGAAGAGGAGGGAGAGTGTTTGCATAATAGCGTAAATAAGGAATTAAGACAGTTGCATTCAGTAAGAAATCAGGAGCAGAAGCTGCATCTTGTTTTAAAACGGTTTGAATTGCACAGCAAAGCTGATAGGAAGCTACAAGCCTCTAAGGTGAGAAAGTGTGTTGTGTGTTCTGAGCGTGGCGAAAATTCATTTTATAGACAAGGTCTTTGTCTTGTTTGTGGTCATCAAATTTAGTTAAAATATTTAAAAAATTAAAAACAACAACAAAAAAAAAACTATTTACAAGTAAGATAAATTATATGAGATCTTTAATTCATATATAAGATAATTTTATTCTGTTCTAATATCTGTGTAATGTTAGTTTAAAATATTATTTTTTAATATATTGATTTTATATATTAGGTAGGTGCCCATTCTGTTCCTATCTTCAGAAGTTATTTATACCTATTCAATAACCTTCGCTCAGGTTAAAGAATGGAATACTAGTCTTGCATCAAATGTAGAGTTGCAAAAAAACGCGTTTTTTTCCTTTGGCGTTTTTTTGGGTCAAAAAAACGTGTTTTTTTGGTTTTTTTGACGTTTTTTTGGTTTTTTTGGTGTTTTTGGTGTTGTTTTGCTTTTTTTAAACAATTTTTCAGTTTTTTTTTACATAAATTTAGGACTAGTTTTCCTTTAATCTAGTATAAATTTTAGTTTAACAAAAAAATTTTATAAAAAATTTAAATTAGCTTTATGTTTATTTTCTGTTTTATTGTACTAACAACTGTGATACTCTCATTATATATAAAAACTATTCTTATTCTATAAAAAAGTTACCATTTTAATTTTAATAATGTAAATACATTAATGTATAACACCATGCAAATTTGATATCAGACTTAAAATGCTCAAAAAAATAAGCTATCTATCAAGATTATTAACTTAATTAAGCATTTGTATATTATGTAGTAATTAAGTCTTACATTGTTTGTTTGTTATATCAAAAAAAGAGTTATTGCTAGTATGCCCATTAAAAAAAAAGCCCTATACTGAACTTAGTTTCAAGGAAAATTTAAAAACTTTTCAATTATTATTATTTACGGAGTTTCCCAGACCCCATTCACCTGATGATTCGTAATTTATTTATTTGTAATTAATTTTTTAACAGCATTTTTTTTTTCTAATTACATTTATTCATCTAAATATTTTCATATAGCACTATATCAGAACACTTGCAAAATTCTTTAATATGCTCTGTTTTTTAAGTTCAATTTTTAGACATAATCTTATGGCAAAAGAATTGTTTATCTTTTTCCATTTTACTAATTTGGTTCAGAGGTTTAATGGGTGACTAAGGCTTTATTTCTGCCCCCTGTATGGAGAGCCTAATCATAATTCTTTTTGTTCTTCCTGTTGATTACCAACAAGAAAAAAAAATTTACTTAATAATTTAAAGATATCCATTTCTCTTTATATATATATATATATATATATATATATATATATATATATATATATATATATATATATATATATATATATATATATATATATATATATATATATATATATATATATATATATATATATATATATATATATATATATATAATATATATATATGTATATATAGATATTATGGTGCTTTAAAAACCACTACTCAGTGTTAAAGTATTTTTTGTCTTAATCTATTTTTTGTCAGTATTTTTTGTGTTAATCTATTTTTAGATTCTAATTCAGAAAAGATTTATATAAAATTTCTCTTTATTTGAGTAATAAGTTGACTTTTTTAATGTAAACATTTTAGAGACCATTTAAACAATATTAGGGACCTGTTGAATAGAAAATGAGCTTAAGTATGAACTAAATATTGAACAATTAAACTTTAATTAGACTTGAAACTTCAAATTGTGTATCTGGGATTATTAAATCATTTCTTTCTAACTGCTTTATTATAATCATCGTCAAATGCCTACTTATTTATTTCCAGTAACTTCTGGAGTTAATCTCAAGGTTCTATTCTTGGTCTGTTTTGTTTCTTATCTACATTATTGATCTTCCTGACAACCCTACATCTATAGTAGCTCTTTTTGCTGATGACTAAAGTTTTTACTCCTGTCTTGACAAAAAGTCTTCTCTTTTTGATCACTTAGAATAGGCAGCCAATTTTGTATCTGATCTTACTTCTGTAACAGATTGGGGCTCACATATTTTAGCTTATAAATTTTATTTCTAACTAAACTCAGTTATTTACTGCAAACAACTATCACAATACTGTTGACATTCCTATATTAATTAATGGTAACCCTCTTACTTAGTCTTCTTTTTTCCATCTTCTTGGAATATTATTTGCTACTAACCTTTCATGTACACAAAATATACAATTGACTGCTAAATTAGCATCACTTTATCATTATCGTTGTTTTCTTGATTCCATTCTCTACCTCTACAAATATCTTTTTGTCCCTGTATGGAATGTTGTTGTCATATTTGGGCTGGTTCTTCTTATGATGCCCTTTTTCTTCTAAACAAGCTCTATCTGCTAAGCTTGAGCCTCTTTCCCATTGTTGTAAAGTTGCATCTCTTTCTCTTTCCTACAAATTCTATCATGGCGGCTGCTCAAAATAGTTATTACCTCTAGTTCCATTAACAAAAACTCATTCTCGACTCTTTATTATGCTAAGTCTCATTCATTAGTTGTTCAATTTTATTAAATATAATAAATGTAAATAAATGTTTATTGTGTCAATATACACTAAAAACAGTAAAGATAAAGTTGAGGAAGATAAAATTATCAAAGAAGTTTTTATACAAGACTGCTTCAACCGTGATAACCTTTAACCGTGTTAATATACCAAAACAAAAATTAATTCAGTAAATTTCAGTATTTATTGTCCTATTTAAATCAGAAATTAAAATATGAATTAAGATATTGCCATTAAAGTTAAATTTAGTAACTTAAACAATGAATTTTTGATTATTTCCCAAAAAAAACAAAAAAACGGACCCCTATGTTTTTTTTCCAAAAAAACGACCAAAAAAACCAAAAAAACAAGAACCAAAAAAACGCGTCACATCTCTAATCAAATATATGTAAAAATCTAGCTTTTATATATTAACTTATGATCAGAGCAACTGGTATGTTGGTTGGGTATGATCTTGTATGTTTGTGTATTTAATTGAAAAAATTTATTGTCCTTCATTATATGTAACATTTTTTTATAGATATATTACATATCCATTCGCTGTTTATCACCAGAAGTTAGTTCTACCTTTGCAGTACCTCTGCTCTACATACCTCCTCGCTGGTTAAAGAATGGAATATAAATCTCATATCAAGTTGGTGCAAAAATTTAGTTCAATAAATTAAGAATTTGTAAACGTTTTCAAAATTTTGAGTGGAGCAATTGTTTTTCTGGTTTAGCATGAGTATGAATCTGATATCAATTGGATGTACAAAGATAGTTTACTACTTAAAGAACCTATCAGTAAACCAACTGATTATAAAACAGTTTTTAATGGGAATAAAAACAAATTTTCAAAAGATTTCAATTAGCTATTTGTATATTCAAACACTTTATTTACTGAGAGAAGAAACTATAGATTCAAGTGCTATAAAATAATTCTACTACCAAAAGCGAGGTTAATTCAAAAACTTAAACTCAAATTTGGTCATGAATTATTTTATTAGACTCGGTGAGTCTTTATTTATTAACAACTTAACACCATATTATTAAAACTGTATGCACAGAAAAAAATAAATGCTTAAGCTAAAATGTTTTGACTAAATATTCCAAAATCGAAATCTGGCTTTATTTTGCAATGCAATGAATTTATTGGCTTAGCAAAATAAGTTTCTAAAACAAGAACTCCTAGGTTTAAAAATGTACTCTTTTAACAGCTAATCCCCCTTTTAACTACATTTTTCGTAACTTTGCGAAAAGTGTGGTTTGCTTTCAGACCTCAATAAAGTCTGTTTTAGCTATCCTTAAACAATTAAGTAAGGTTTTTTTGTTTTTATAATAGTCAAACAATGGGTATATTTGAGAATAACTATCAGAAATAAATTTTTCTGATTTTTTTTTATAAAAAGTAACATCAAATTACTTGAATTCAGCCAACTTCATCATTTGTCGCGTTTTTTTTAAACTTAAAGAAGTTTTTTTACAATGCATTAAATGTCGTAAGATGAAACATTTTATTGGTGTTTTTATTCTTTTTACAAAACAAAATTACCTTTAATATTTTAAAAGTTATAGAAGTTTTAGTAACACCCCTTAAGTCAATATTTTCAAAAAATAACAAGAAGCCGTTACGCTCGGTTTGAAACAGCCGTGATACATATATATTATGTATGTATGTATAAATGTATGTGTGTATATGTATGTATGTATGCCTAGTTAAAAAGCTTTACACGGCTTGCATTTACATGCCAAATTTGCAATTTGCAAACGCTTTCAGAAATTTTACACTAAGCAAAAACTTTTTTATTTTGGAATACTTAAACATTTTTAAATATTGCTTATGTGACATTAGTTTTATTTAGATTAGTGAAATTTTGAAACATTGTAAATATAACGAAAAACAGATTTTTTTGTTAAAGAAACTGAATATTTTATATAAATATTTTTTTAATTAAAATACTTTTAATTAAATATGATTTAAATTTTTAAATTTTAGTTTTTAAAGGAATGTAAAATAGTTTTGTAATATTTATTAAAAATGGTTTTTTCTAAGTATATGCTAACTAATTTTTTTCTTAGTATATGCTAACTAATTCATTACATAAGAGATATATCTCTTTATCATGGAAGAAAATATGTCAAAGCAAATAAAAAACTTTTTTTTAAAAAAGAAAAACAAAAAAAACAAAAAAAGAGGTATATTAGTTTAAGATAATTTTTCACAATTGTATTTAAAAAATTTGATTTCTTATTAAACCAATGTTGTTTAACATCTTATTGGTAACTAAAATCAATTAATAAATTGTTTATGATTTTTGTTAAAAATATTCTATTAAATACATAAAAAAATAAAAAAGTTGTGATAAAGAAACAATGAATTATGTTAAGAATAAGATTCTTTTAAGAAATAAATTATGAAGAAACTTGAATTTCACTGGTAATTTTTGTTATATTATTTCAAATGATTTTTAATGTGGTTTAAAAGTAAATTCAATTACAACACGGTACTTTTAAATTACACTAATTACGCAATTTAATTTTTAACAATGTAAATATCAGAGCTGTGTTAAAGTTTATTAGTGTTAAGCATTTTCTTTACAAAACAAAATCTCATAACCTGATACTGTATTGTATGTATGTATGTATGTATGTATGCATGCATGTATGCATTCATGTGTGTATATGCGTATGTATATATATATATATATATATATATATATATATATATATATATATATATATAGACACACACACACACACACACACACACACACACACACACACAGATTTAAGCTACTTATATCTCATTCTCCTACTTAAGGATTAGGAGCATCTTCTATAAATTTATTTCATTTCAATTAAATAAAATTTTAACAAGCAATATAGTACTTAAAGACAGCAATACAAATTTTTCACCTGTAAATGTTTACTTGATTTTTTTGACCTATTCTGTGAGCTCGTGCCATAGCCTGTAAATCGTTTTGTGGATTCCAATCAGAATCAAATATAATTACAGTATCAGCAGAGGCTAAATTTATACCTAGACCACCTGCACGAGTTGACAGCAAGAAACAAAAATCCTAATAAAAAAGATATAATATTAATTGTATTCTTTTTCATTAAATTGTTCTTCTACTTTTTTTTTACTTTTTACTTTTACTTTTTTTTTCACTTTTATTTTCATTATTATTAATTTATTATTATTTTTTTTTTCACTTTTATTATTATTATTTATATTATTAAAATTACTCACAGTTTAATACTTTGTAATAAAAAATTGTTAAAAACATTTATTTATTTATATAAAATTATACAATACAAAATGTTTAAAAAATATGCTTATACTTATTATGTCTAAAAAAAAAAAATTTTTTTCTTTTTTTTTTCCAGACATTTTTCCCGATGAGCCTACTGATGATGAAACAAATTGAAGAAAATTAGATAAGTGTTTTTACTAATTAACATATATATACAACCCTCCGAATTAGGAAATATGAGGTCGGCAAATTATTGCTGACCTCAACTTTTTTGAGGTTGGCATCAGGTCAGCAAAAAATTGCCAACCTGATGAAAAATTATTTGATACAAAGGCCTGACCACAAAGCTAAGAAACAAGATCTGCAATTTTTTGCTGACCTCAAACACTTTCAGGTTGGCAGTTAGGTCGATATTGCAGAATGCCGACCTAATTTCGAGGGTTGTGTGTATGGTGTATGTGTGTGTATATATATATATATATATATATATATATATATATATATATATATATATATATATATATATATATATATATTATATATATATATATATATATATATATATATATATAACAATATCTTTGCATATTTACATTACCATAAAAGTCATTGATGACATCATAGATAGGGGTAGGTTTCATCTAGATATGAAAACCTTTTTCAAAGATAAGACGGTAATGGTTTTTTTTTAAAAAAAAAAAAAGGTTTCTTTATTATTCAAAAACATTTAGTTATTAGTACTTGTTAATAACTAAGTTGTTAACTTTATAGTTATTATTTAGTTATTAACAAGTATTTGTATTCCTCAGCCTAGAGGAAGTGAATAACAAAAAAAAAAAAATTTTTTAATGTATTAAATTAGAAAAATGAGCATAACCAAAGAATATTTTTTATAGTGCGTACAAACTTTTATAATGAACCCTCCCCACTACACATTTGTATGCTATTTGAAGACCCTCCCTCCCCCTTCTGAGCATATGTACTTTATAGATGGCCTCTATATTGAATAATTTGACCATATATCTCTGATGAGTCTTTATGGTAAAACAGTGTGAAATGAAAATATTTGATAGTGCTTTTCTATTAATTTAATAATCTATGTTATATATATATATATATATATATATATATATATATATATATATATATATAATATATATATATATATATATATATATATATATATATATATATATATATATATATATATATATATATATATATATATATATATAAAATACAGGCTTTGACAGGAGTAAGGGGTTATTGCAATCTATTCTTGACTACCCATGTAATATTTAGTTGCCTGAAGGTAAAAATCTTGACGGGAGTAAATGAGTGCAAGAGCAAAGAAATACTCCCTAAAATGAAATGTTGCGCCATGCACGGTGCTCCTTTAAACAGCTCTTATGAGAGCTTTTGGTTTTTGCACAAGCTATGTGTTTATTCATTTAAAAAAATTGCTTATTTAAAAACAAAATTTGATTTTATGTTTGCTAAAAGCATGTTTGTAACATTGATGTTACAAGAATATATACAAAAAGCATAATTTATTTGGTTATGAAAAAAATTTATAGATGAATGTTGTTTTTCGGCTTTCCCACTAGCTATCTATTTATTAACAACATTAATTATTTGATAAAAAAGTTGATAAAAAGCTATAAAAGTTTTTACTGTTTATAAAAATGTTTTATATTTTCTTATTGTAATAGAATGCATTTATTTTAAGAATTATAATAAAAATAATAAGAGTATAATAATTTATCAAATAGTTCAATTTAGTTCAACACATTTTGCATTTAATTCGCTCTTTTTCAATTAATTTTTATTTTTTTTTGGAACAACTGTATCTTTTCAAAAGCATTACAGTTTATTATGATTTTATTTATTTACAAACACGACTTAGTATTTTTCATTTTAGATACAATAATAATTGTACTTTTAAGAGAAAAACTTTTGCAAGAGCCATAAATTGCTCCCATAATCCATTTTAGAGGAGTGTGGGCAAGAGCGAGAGCTAAAGCTCTCGCTTCCTGCTGAGGCCTATATATATATATATATATATATATATATATATATATATATATATATATATATATATATATATATATATATATATATATATACATATATATATATATATATATATATATATATATTTATATATATTTATATATATTTATATATATTTATATATATTTATATATATATATATATTTATATATATATATATATGAACATGTGTTGACTTAAAAATCTTTCAAACTATTTTAAATACACTTACTTGAGATCCTTCAGCATTGAAATGATCTAAAGCTTGCTTGCGTTTATCTCCACGTATAGAACCATCTAGTCTCTATGCAAAGGTTCAACGAAAACTCATATTAGTTTAAATACAAATTATTATACATTATTAGTGTTATTAACACTAATAATGCATATTATACAAAATACATTATTAGTGTTGATACACACACACACAAACACATACACACAAACACACACATAAATATATACATTTTTCACAACTATTTTATATTATTACTAATTTATAATTATATATTTAACAACTATAGTATTACTTATTATATAATAAAACAATGTATATATTTATTATTTTACTTTTTTTATTACCTTACTATATTCTACAATAGAAGCTGTAAATTAAGAAATAAAAAATAAAAAAAAAAGTAAAAAAAAGAAAGTTTTAATATCAAACTTAGTTACCATAGTTACCAGAGCATAAAACATAGTTACCTGAAATTGAAATCTTTTAATACAAAGGTAATCTGCAATGATATCAAGCATGCGTACCATTTGAGAGAAAATTAAAACCCTGTGACCTGTCTCTTTCAAACGACATAAAAGCTTATCAAGCAAAATCATTTTACCACTTCCTCTAATTAGTGTCTAAAAAGGATAAACAAAGAGTTTGAATAAACAGAAAAGAACAATATATTACTTTTGAAAAATGTTTTCATTTTTGGTTTTTCAGGTCATAATCCTATAACTTCTACCTTAAAATTGTAGATTTTATTGCTTGCTAAAAGATCATCTTTTAAAAACTTTATAAAAAAAAAAAAATTTACATTAAAAAAAATTACAAAATAAAACCCAAAAAATGTGAAAACCAGCTATGGATTTTTTTCTAAAAATTTTTTCTAAAAGCTTATTTTCTAAAAGTACTCAAATAATAAAAACGAAAAACTTTAAAAATATATGGAAACTCTTTAAACAAACATATATCAAATTTTTAAAATGGTAAATTTACTATTTACTTTAAATTATCAGTATTTTTAATAATTTATTTCTTAACTTATTATAACTTTATAGTATTAATTATGTAAATTTTTTTCTTCTTCTAGTCATTAATGTGCTTCAAAATAACTTAACAGAGCAGTCTGTCACAGAGCACAGTGTAGAAGCATTTAACAAGGTAGTTCCTGTGCCTTCTTGAACAATATTACTTTTATGGCTAAGGCAGAATATTAAACATAAAAATCAAAATTAGCCAAAATTTGAAAAAACTTATTTTTTTAAATTTTTTTAAAACAAAATTAGCCAAAAATTTTATATTGGGTCATTTGGTGCTAAATGAACTGACTTGGTAAGTTGGTTAATATTAATGAGAAAAACAAAACCTTTTTTAATTCATAAGATGAATTAAAGGCTCTGAACATTCAAGATTTGCTTTTCATATTATAAACTAACCTCCATGTTATATCAAAAGTGAGGTGGGCTATGATAAAACTTTAAAATTTTAGTTCATTTGGCATGGGATGACTTTACTAAGAATTTTTATTTTGTACTTTAAAAAGCAAAAATTTTGGTTAAAATATTATTAGTTAAAAAGTTTGATTTAAATAATGTGAATAAATACATTTAAATATTATTTCATAAAAATGAAGTTTTTATTTTTAGATTTGTAACAATACCTGTATATACCTGTAACATAGAAGGATCACTTAAACACAGCTCTGACGGTTTGATTAAATTAGAATGATTACAACATTTTTTAAGTTCAACTATTATATTTAGCAAGCCAGTAAACTTTCCCTTTAATTCTTTGCATAATTCATGGACGTTTCGTGTAAGAATCAACCTGATTTGTTAAATAATATATTGCTTTATAAAAAAAATTTGAAATTAAAAATAAAAGATTACAAACAACTAAATAATCTAAAACAATTTCAGATTCTGATTTTTTACTTATAGTACTGTTTTTGGATCTGTGACATTTCAACACGAAGAATTTGCTCTACCTAAAAAAAAGTAAATAAAAACCTCTTGTATTGCAACATCTACAAAAAAAAATTATTAACTGTATTATTAAAAGTTATTAAAAGTATTAACTGTATAAAATATCATTAAAAATTATTAAAAGTATTAACTGTAGAAAAAATTCCTGTAACAATTATTGTTAAGAACTATTTTTTCTAGTTAATAAAAATTCTGAAATTATAAAACAAATACTAAAACAATAACTCACTTTTGCAGGTAATGATTTTTCTACATCTTTCTTAACTCTTCGTAATAAGTAAGGTTCCAAATCTCTATGAAGTTTTTGCAGACCATCTTTATCAGATACAGAATATTTACTATCAAAATCTTCCCAAGAATTAAACCTATCAAAAAATATTAATAATTATTTTTTTAACAAATTTGATTAAACATACAGTTTAATAAACATAAAATAAAATATATAACAAAAACAAACATAAAATAGTCAAATAAATGCAAATGTATTTATATAAAAGGAATAGACCAAGCAATTAAGCCTATATTAGCTTTATTATTTTATTAGAGAATATTTTATTATAATATATATTATATCAGTAGTCGGCATGCAATAAAAATGCTAAACTAATACTCCCTAGGGAATGTTACAAAATATGCGCTAAATAAAAAAAAATTCAAACCTATTCTCTAAGTACATTTAAACTGCAC